CAACAAACTACTACTTGACACAATAATCCTTGAAATTCATATAACTTTTGGAAATAATAAAAGTGCGCAAATGAAATTAAATATATTTATAACAGTGGAATCCTTTGCTGTCATCACCAGATGTCACTTAAAGTGAAGCAACAACTCTTAAAAAACCACGTCCAGTAACAGCTGATCAGTTGTACTTGAGTCAAGGTTTTAGTCGTTCTTCTGCAGAAACAAAACCGGCTTCAACTCATGAAGGAATAAATAGTTAACTGGTTTTCTCATACTAATTATTTGTTGCGCAACCTTCCACGACACAGACAGGAGTCCTGAATTAGGAACTCATCATTAATAATAATACCAGTAATAATTAAAAAAACACCAACTTCCAACAGCTGCTTTCATACTTTTCTGCAAAGAGCACAGTGTTTTTCATCTTGTAGCCCTCAACAGCTAATTGGCCACTTTGAAATTTAATTTAATTTAGTTCATTTAACTTTAGAACTAAACTGTCATACTTACAGACTAAAATACCCAAAGACACCTGCTACACATCATAAAGTTTGTGGTTTAGGGTGTGCTGATGTGAAATCCCTTCACATTTTTGTGAATAAATTATATGATGTGTCCTGTGAACAAAAATCATGATTGTTGGCAAATAGAACAAAGTTAAAAGTGTGGGAGCGAAGCTTTGTACACGTCGTCCACTGATAAATTGATCCACTGACATAAAATAAATTACAGCTGCCTGACAGATTATGTAACCACATAAAACTGTGACATGTCAGTCACTATAGATGGTGATATATGTGGACTGCAGGACAAAAAAGAGAAAGATGGGAGAATATGATGATGAACAAGGCTAATAAAGTAAATCTTTTACAGAAAGTGCGTTCCCACGAGATGCGACCGCTCAGAGCAGACAGGGAATTCAACTCTGAACAGAGAATAATAAGCTCAGAAATTAAATAAAAACAAAGAAGCTGGCAAATACCTTGACATAAACATCTGAAAACACGTTCCTTCTGCTGTATTTGTTGTAAACGCTCTTAAACAGACTCTGCTTCCCCATGGTGTCAGCTGCTGTGAAGCTTAACTCAGCTTTGAACCTTTGGACGCTCCCTATCAAACTCTAACTGGACCATAAACTGCTAAACTACGGTAGTTACAAATCCCGAATTACTTCCCCCAGCAACCCTAATCAAATGTCATACACATAGTAACAACCTCACACCTGACCTTGCATTTGCCTCCGATGAGGTCCGCCCTGTCCACAGGTAGGTCTGTCACGACAACAAATTTTTCTGGGCGATTAATTGTCTCAGAAATTATTGCGATAAACGATAATATTGTTTGAAATTTGACAATAATTAGTCATTTTTGTTAAATTTAAGAAGAAATGTTGAATTTAGTTTTGCGTGTAGTACCTGTATTTGACCACGGGATGGCAGTATACGACTGTTTGAACTGAAGGATGGATAGTGAGGGAGCGAGCAGTGTCTCTTTAAGAAAAATGGGAGGGAGGCTCCTTGACGTGACATGGGCTGTCTCTCTTCGGTTCTCAAAATGGCAGACGCTCGGTGTGATTTGAGCTCTTTAGCAGAGCATTTTTCACACAAACTTTTTAATAAAAAATCAGTAAACAAGTTCTCATTTTCTTTCTGCAGAGAAAAACAACCTTTTACACGAAGGCACGGGTTTCAACCGTGAATTCTGGAGCTTCAACAAGAGGGAGGTTTATTCACGAGGTCGGCCTGTTAGCTTCGCTTCTCAGCTTAGCTGCTTTTAACGATCCAAAAACATGATTTTGGGGGAGTGGTGGTGCAGAGGTTAGAGAGGTGGGCCTGTGATCGGAAGATCGCCAGTTCACGCCCTGGTATCGACAACATCAAAAATGTGGGTGGGGTAGGTGAAGCACCCACATTTGCCCCTACCCTCATTCGCCCCACTCTGGGCCCATGAGCAAGGCCCTTAACCCCCACCATCTGCTCCCTAAACAGGTCTCTCTTGAAAACGAGTTCTCGTGGCTCAATGAGACTAACTGGATAAATGAAGGTTAAATGAAAAAAATGACATTGGACGGTTAAAACGGATTTTAAAGAGAAAACAGAAAGGGAGGGGTCAGTGAAGAACACTTTTTGTCATCCAGTGTCTTCAGTAGAAAGAGAGAGACACAAAGAAACGATAAAGCCGATAAATTAAATTGAGGTCAATAATTTTCATTTATCATGTGATTAATTGATTTATTGTTTATCGCGACAGACCTATCCGCAGATAAAAAAAAAAAGTTTGTTAACTCACCCCACTGCTTGTGCTGCCATCTGATGGTTCAGCCCCTTTAGCCAAAGTAGTGTTTAGATCCCAGGACGTCCCTGAGAAAGGACAAAACATCAGTTTGAAATTAACTCTAAATTAAAGACAGGATTCTAATTATCCACTTCCTCCTTCATCTGTTTTACATAAAGGATCCATTAGCCTGTATCCTTCCTGAGAACAACAACTCCAGCAGGAGCACCTTGCAGGTAGTACTGCCGTAGCTTGGGGTTTCTGATATGGGGGATGTGGTCCAGGGGCCGGCTCACAATGGGCCGGTTCTGATGCTGCACGCTGGCTGTGGCCCCGCGCATCATTTGGGCCTGAAGTGGTATGTCCCAGGGGGGCTTCGCAAACTGTGGAGGTTGGGAGACGCCGGCCGGCAGCTTGGATCCCAACCTGAGACAGAGCAAACAGATTCATCACCGTTATACTGTGGGTCGGGTCACACCACGCTTGTCACATGCCGCCTTATATTTATAAAGGCTATATTTACTGTGCTGATCCACAAACTACATAAACCCTGAAATAATTATCAAAATAAACAGTAACATTTGCTCAGAAATCAAATGAATTAATGCCTTTCATGTTCGAATTTTATACTAAAGTCACTTTTTATTTAAAAAGCTATTTTTTAGTCAAACCTTAAAATGTGCATGATCTTGTGCAGTACAGTGAGATGCTCATAGAATGTGACGAGAATGACTCTCAGCTACTACCACAACAAATCTGAGCTCCATAGCTGTACATTTGTCTGAGTTATAGCATGTTTGTGTTGGCTACGTTCAATTAGCTACAGTGGCCATCTTGAAAAGGGTTGACTCAAATAGATGCTCATCCGACGATTAGTTTCTAGGAGGTTCATTAAAATCTGTTCAGTGGTTCATGAGATATTTTGCTAACAGACCGGACACACGAACACACACCAGTCTCATACAGATGTAAGTACAACTTTATTGCCCACCTTTTGGACCATAATGATTTATAAATGAATGAATGAATGTATGAATTAAATAATTCATTCATTCAGTAATTAATTTACTTTTTAAAATAAACAAACTTTGAGAAGAAAAAAAACAGAAAGGTGTAAGATGCACATTTTTTTTAATTATTGTTTTGTCTGGGTTTATAACATGACAAAACAAGACATTTCATTTATTAACTTTGAATTATTTGAATGAACAATCTACTATTTGTTAAACACATAAACCTATATATTTTAAATTATAAGACTTTTGATAACAAAACAATTACTTTATGACTCACTACATTAGGGTTATGATATTAGAATGACTAACATCATAAAATACAGACAAGTTAAAATCAACTCACACAGTGTCAAAAGCCAGGGAATAAAAGTGAGTTTTTAAACAAGACTTAAAAACAGTGAGAGAGGGAGCTGTCGGACATGTAGTGGAAACTCATTCCACAGTCTTGGACCTGCAACAGAGAAGGTCCTGTCACCTCTGAGCTTAAAACGAGTTCCTGAAACCAATAAAAGCATCTGGTACGCTGACCTCAAAGAGAGTACTGTGGGACACATGGCTGCAGCAGATCAGTGAGATAAGAGAGGCAGAACTGTTCAGAGATTTAAACACATACAGAAGTATTTTAAAATGCATTAAAAGTTAACTGGGAGCCAGTGCAGGGAGGCCAAAACTGGTGTAATGCGTTCTTTTTTTGCCTGTACCAGTTAAAAATCGAGCTGCAGCATTTTGAACCAGTTGTAAACGTGCAATAGAGGTCTGACAGATTCCAAACAGAAGTGCACTGCAGAAATCAAGCCTGGATGTTACGAATGCGTGTATCACTGTCTCAAGGTTACTTTTGGACAATATGGGCTTCAGCTTAGACAGTCGCCTCAACTGAAAAAACAAACAGGATTTAACAATCGTGATTAAATGACTGCTTAGTTTCATGGAAGGGTCCATTTTCACTCCCAGGTTGGTGACCACTTGTTTCTCTTGTGGGGCTGGAGAGTAAAGGTCCATGCAGTGGTTCTTGATTGTGCCATTAGGTGGAAACAATGAGCTCTGTCTTCTTCTCATTAAAATTTAAGAAATGTAAAGCCATCCAGTCCGTGACGTCAACCAGGGAGTCAAGAAGAGGTTGAACAGAACGTGAACCACTGTGCTTCAGAGGGAAGTAAATTTGACAGTCATCGGCATAGAAATGAAAAGGAATGCCTTGTTTACGAAAAATGTGGCAGCAGGTATAAAGAAAAAAGAGGACAGAGAATGGACCCCTGCGTTACCCCCCCATCAAAGAGAAGCCCACGTTGAAATAAAATTCTTGATGTTGACACAAAAGGTTCTGTCAGAGAGGTAGGACCTAAACTATCCGAGGGCCGACCCTGTGATGCCCACCCACTGCTCCAGCCTAGAAATGAGGATCTCATAGTCAGTGGTGTCAAAAGCTGATGTAAGGTCCAGTAAGACAAGGAGCACAGAATCACCTGCATCTGTGGGTTGGAAAGTGTCATTAAAAACCCTCAACAG